ACTAGTCCCGCTCCACAGCCCTGTTGGTTGGATGAGCCATCAACATACAGACTCCATGCTGGGGTTGTTGGTTCTATCTTCTGAGCTTCTGGGGGTAATTGAAGCCACTGCTTCAGGTGTAGAAGCAATGTCAACCGGATATGTGAAGTCGGCAATGAAGTCTGCCACTGCTTGGCCCTTCTCAGCTGGCTTTGGTTGGTAGGAGATGTCAAACTCACCCAACGCTATTGCCCATTTGATCATTTGCCCTGAAGTGTCAGGACTTTGGAGTATCTGTCGAAGAGGGATAATTGGTAAGCACGATGATGGAGTGCGCTTGGAAGTAAGGGCGGAGTTTTCGAGCAGACATGACCAATGCCAGAGCCAATTTCTCAATGTTAGAGTACCGTGTCTCCGCATCTTGTAAGGCTTTGCTAGCGTAGTAGACAGGTCGCTCAATATTCCCATCCTTTCGAATGAGAACGGAACTTACGGCTGAAGCTGATACCGATAGGTAGATAATGAGAAATGTCTCCTACCTCGGGCTTGGAGAGTAGAGGGGCTTTACTCATGTACTCCTTGAGGTTTTTGAATGCCTCGGCACATTCATCAGTCCATGTAATGTACTTCCTACTTCCCTTAAGTACTTTAAAAAAGGGAGCACATTTGTCTGTGGCCTTAGAAATGAACCTGGTTAAGGCTGCCACCTTGCCAGTAAGGCTCTGGATGTCTTTTGAAGTTACCGGTTCCTTCATGTCGAGGATTGCTTTGATCTTCTCGGGGATTAGCTTCAATGCCTCGTTGGCTAATCATGAAACCTAAGAATTTGCCAGAGCCTACGCCGAAGGCACATTTGTTGGGGTTTAACCTCATTCGATACCTCTTTCAAAATAGTGAAAGTTTCAGATAGGTTGGTGATGTGTTGGTCAGCATGTTTGCTCTTGACTAACATATCATCAACGTAAACTTCCATGCTCTTCCCAATCTGCTCGGGCGAACATTGAGTTGACTAGTCTCTGATAAGTCGCTCCTGCATTCTTTAGGCCGAAAGGCATGACTTTATAGCAGTATAGTCCTCTGTCGGTAGTGAAGGCTGTGTGTGTTCTTGATCCGAAGGGTTCATGAGGATTTGGTTGTATCCTGAGTAAGCATCCATGAAGCTCAGGAGTTCACACCCGGCCGTAGAGTCTATAAGTCTGTCAATAAGAGGAAGAGGGAAGCTATCTTTCGGACACCCTTTGTTTAGGTCGGTGTAGTCAACACACATTCTCCACAAGACCTTTTGAAGCAAAAGACTTTCTTTGGTCGGATTTTTCTTAACAAGGACCACATTTGCTACCCATGTCGGGTAATTGACTTCGCGGACAAAGCCTATGCCTTTGAGTTTTTCAACTTCTGCTTTCATTGCCTCGTATCGTTCAGCGTCATAAGATCTTCGCTTCTGTCTCACCGGCTTGATCTTGGGGTCAATACTCAAACGATGACAGATGACATCGGGAGAGAATGCCTGGCATGTCCTCGTATGACCAGGCGAAGACTTCAGTGTTCTCTTTCAAAAAAAGATATCAATGCTAACCGAAGGGGTGGTGACAATGTGGTGCCAATCTTCACCATGCGATCTGGATAATCTCTTGAGATAGGTACCTTCTCCAACTCTTCAGCAGGTTGGGCTTGCTGGGTGAAAGAGTCATCTCGAGGATCATCGGGTTGATTGTTGCTATCAGGAAGATCCAAGTTCGCTTCATCTAGGCTGGTCTTTGTGACTTGGTCATGTACAGACAGGGTTTCCTTGGGTCCGGGCAAGTGTTGTTGCTTAACTGAAGTGTTGTAACATGATCGTGCACTAAGCTGATCTCCTCTGATGTAGCCGTTGCCATGGGGGTTGGAAATTTCATCAACAGCATATGCGTGGATACCATAGCCTTGAGATCATTGATGCCTGTGCGCCCAAAGATGACATTGTATGCCGTTGGGCAGTCAACCACTAGGAAGTTAGTGGTAATGGTAGCCGTGTAAGGGCCTGTACCAATAGTAAAGGGTAAATGTATGCTCCCTAAGGGTTGCACGATATCACCGGAGAAGCTTATCAGAGGAGAAATCGAGCGATCGAGCAAGTGTTCAGCTACACTGAGCGCCCTGAAAGCTTCGGCAAACATGATATTGACCGAAGCCCCTGTGTCTACGAGGATTCGTCGAACATCAAAGTTGGCTATGTGAGCCTCCACGATCAATGGGTCGTTATGAGGGTAGATGATGCCTCTTTCTTCCTCAGGGTAGAAACATATCGGATCCCAGTTAGGTTTTTGATACTTCCCTCCCCTGATGTCTTCCACGTGAAACACTTGGTGACCAGGCCTCAGACTTCGTTCACTGTTTTTCATGGCCCTATTGGAAGATTCAGATATGGGTGTGCCGCCGCTTATGGAATATATGACATTCACCTGGCGTTGGTTACGGTTATCCCTTTGAGGGTGAAGAAGGAATTGATCAATTTTTCCTTCTCGTGCCAAAGCTTCAATACGATCACGGAGGATGATACATTTTCTCGCTATCATGGCCGTTATGCTCATGGTAGCAACAAAAACGTGCCCGCGTTATTCGGGGGGCGTGTAATCTGGGTGCCTCGGCTTTGGTTTTTGGTATCAGGTGAGCTATGCTGGGGTAAATGGCCGCGCATGTGGCATTCAAGGGCGTGTATGTCTCATACCTTGGGGTAGGGGGTATCTTGACGCGGGTTTGACCCACTGCATTGACTGCCTGGGGGCGAGCGTTATTTGTGGCGATACCCTTGGTTATCGGGATAGTGTCCCTTACTCTTTTTACTGAAAGGAGAGTGGTGAGGATGGAAATCCTTCCTCTTGCCTTGAAATTGATATGTCTGTTGATTCGGTGAAGCATTATGCAAGGCATGGGGAGGTGCCACTGCTGTTTGGGAAGTCGAGGTCTTCTCATTTAGGTGAGTCTGGCTTCCACCTCCCACTTGTTGATAAAGGATGGTTGTAGGGGGTTTCTCCTGATATGTCTTTGCCTCGGCGGAGGCATGGTTATAAGCCTGCGCCATCACCTCAGAGTAAGTCTTCCAAGTATTGGCATTGATCATGTATTTAAAGAAACAATCACGTAGGCCTGCCGTGAAGGCTTTGAGGGCAGTCTTGTCATCTGCTTCGGCACACCGGGAGTATTCATGGCTGAAGCGGCCAGCATACATACGTAATGACTCGTCTGGCTTCTGGCGGATAGTGTACAAGTCATCTGCAGAGTGCAAGCGATCGGTTTGGAAAATGTGTTGGGAAACAAATAGTTTCCTCAATTCCTCAAATGAGTCTACCGTCTCAGGTGTAAGACGACAATACCAATTTAGAGCTCCACCAGAGAGGGTGGAGGGGAAGAGAAGACATCGCTCTTCGTCGGTGTGCATCCGGTATGCCATGGTGGACTCAAAGAGGTTAAGGTGCTCAATCGGGTCCTCTTTTCCAGTATAAAGTTGCAAGCCAAGCTTTTGCTTTGTCTTTGCTTGAAGGGGGGTGTTGAGGATCCTCCTTGTAAGAGGGCCAGGCCTGGGTTGGTTCCAGTCAGGTATTTCAGCCTGACGTTCAGCCTTCAACTTGTTTACTTCCTCAATAAGTTGTAGGACAAGGGGGTCTTGAGCGGAGTTATGTGCCACTGGAGCTTTCTTTCGTAAATCTCCATCTCCTCTTGGAATTAGGAAGGTTTGATCAAGGGCATGTGATTTTTCCCTGGACTCGTTGTACTGGCTTCCAGGGTATGTCTGTCGGAACACCTCTGAGTCCCCTGTACCCTCATGTCTCTCTAGGACTTGTTGCCCCTTCCCCAAATTGGTGGCCGGCTCGGGCCGTGGCAGGGGACCGAGTCTCTCAGAAATCCTTGGGTCATTGATCTTTGAGCTTATATGGATGGAATTCTCTCGACGTTGCTTCAGGAAATCCCGACAATCGCGAAAGACGGCTTCGATCCTTCTGCCCCTTCAGCAAAGAGGTGTCTCCCTCCACTTCTCATGGTTCGGGTCGAAGCAACTGGGTTAAGAGAAGCCTCATGTTGATTATCAAGTCGAGGGGTAATCTGTTCCCTATCAGGGATATCTATGTCGAATGCATGTGACCCTCCATGTTGGAGGGCACCCAGTTGATGGTTGACTTCCACGGGGGCAACAAGCTCGCGTGTCTGAGCTTGCCTAGCTTCGTGGAGTGTCTCGAAGAGCTTCTCATATTGCTCCTGGAGGACCTCATTCCTCATTGCTATCTTGTTGTTCTGAGCTTCCAACTCATCGACTTTAGCTTGAAGAAAAGAACTCGTTTTCCTTCCTTCTTTCGTTGTTTCGCACTATGTGCAAGGGGGGTGTCATTCTGTGTGCTGTGGCTTCCTTCGCTTCCCATGTTGGAGAGGGATGCCTGATCAAAAGAAAGTGTACGAATGATAGAAACCAGCTTGACACAGCTGAAGAGAGTAGGAATAAGTGTCGTTTCCCACAGACGGCGCCAAATGTTGATGCACAAAATCAGCGAAGACTTTGGTACAACAGAAAGTGTCAGGTTTTGTGACCTTCGCTTGGTTGCTTGGTAGCTTCAGTCACTAGTGAGGATAAGTACGTGAATGAATAGAGACAGAGAAGCAAACACAGGATGTACGTGGTTCACCCAGATTGGCTACGTCCACGGAGTAGAGGAGTTCTTATTAGTAGTGAAGGGCTTACACAAGTACAAAGGATCAAGCTCTCAATTTAGTGAGTTCTTGTGAATGATTTAACACAAAATGGCATTAGGCAATATTGTGGGGGAATGACCCCTATTTATAGAAAAACTTGTAGCTTTGTCACATTGACATGTGTCATGTTGTGATTGGTTCTTGATGTCGACACGTGCTGCGCTCTGATTGGCTTCTAATCTTGACACGTGTCGAGTAGTGATTGGCCTCCTGGTCGGAGGGGAACTCTTCTGGGTCCTTGACAGTATAGCGTTGGCCGGTGCTCGGTAGTTTCGGGATTGGTCAAGTATGGTACAAACATACAGCGTTGCTAAGAATGTAAATGCTACTTCAAGCAATGGGATATACCGGTTGAGGTTCAACAGCACGGTGGATGTTATTTTACAGAATGCAAACACTATGACAGTGAACAACAGCGAGACGCATCCGTGGCATCTCCATGGACATGATTTTTGGGTGCTGGGATACGGGACAGGCAAGTTTGACATCAAGAAGGATGTTGGGAAGTACAATCTTGTGAATCCGATTAAGAAGAACACGGTGCCGGTACATCCTTACGGTTGGACTGCATTGAGATTTAGAGCTGATAATCCAGGTGTTTGGGCATTTCATTGCCATATACAGTCACATTTCTATATGGGAATGGGGGTGGTGTTTGAAGAAGGGGTGGAGAAGGTGGGAAAGCTGCCCTCTTCTGTTATGGGCTGTGGAGAAACCAAAGGTTTCCATTCACCGTAGAAATTAGTGATTCTTTTCTAAAGATACGAGCAAATCATTTTTCCATGTATGAATCATATTCAATTTTAAAGAAATTCAATTAAACCTCGAAAAATCGTGGTTGAGAGCGTCACTAACCCTCCGTTGGAAGTTTTATGTTCTAATCTTTATCTCCTCTATTATCACTTGTATTGTATATATAAAAAAAATTGTTAGTAACATTTAATTTATTTATTCGATAACCGTGGTTTTCCATCAGTTGTCTAATTTTTTAAGAAAAAAAAATTCATTTATGGCTGGAGGATAAATGTTCTAAAATTTTCATAAACTCGTAGTGAGACTGAAAAATCATGAATTCACTGTAATTAAAAATTTGTAATTTTAGCATTGCTAATGAGAATAGAGTGAAGAAAACTGATTTTCCAATTCTGCCCCCATTTAATTTCAACATGAAGAACAAGAAATTGCACTCAGCAAAATGAACGATTAAAACAAAGAACGATCGCGATGGGACTCGAACCCACAATCTCCCGCACCGTAGGCCAGCGTCTTATCCATTAGGCCACGCGATCGTTGACAAGAGCTTTATCAAACTTTTAGATGAGGTACTTTTAAACTTGGTATTGATGAAGTCTTGTAACTCTCATAATTATGAGATTCCAAAATTAGAATTGAATTCATTTTCAAAACTTTTTGTATTATATTTAGAAACATATTCGATCCGTTCCGGCTGAAACTCAGGCCTAGTTCCATCCAATTTGTTTAGGGTTTAACAAATTTTTTAGAAGAAGTATTGTGCGCGTCAATGATTGATCTACAAACAAAACTTGAAGATTCATAAATATGGCTGCGCCGCCAACAACACAAAATTGTTGCCGGCGACTAGTTTACATATGAATATCATCCTCCAAAAATTCATAGAAAAAATGTCATCCAATTCCGAGTGGAAACACATTCACAAATTACACGGCCAAAACAATGCTGTGTTAAATAACGTTGTCATTACTAAAAGAAAACTTGTGCTACCTATGTAACTTATTGTATGGGACTTCCCAGGCATACTGCCTATCTTGAACAATTTCATAAACACTTTTCAGACTGAGTACAATTTCTCAAGAACCATTCTTGACCTTGTATCGATAACAAACGCGTTTCTTCTTCATCAATGATCCGTTCTCAATTGTTAAAAGAACGTTTCCAGGTTCGTTGTTCGAGAAAGAATTTCGGAGAGAACCCTCTTGCGCACTAAGCCTCCTGCCCTTTTGAATGATAATGCCATATGATCCCTCATCAGTTGGAAAGAATTCTTCCTTGTAGTGTACTTCCCAACCCAACACGGTAATTTCCCACTTTAAAGTTGTTCCTGCCTGTTTCGCATCAACCATCAACATATTATTATGGTTCCGGGTTTGATATATAGTAGCCACAAGATTGAATAATTTTTTTTGAGTGCACATACCTCTGGTACAGGGATTTGAACAGTTTCTGATGATGATTGATAAACAGTAATCTCTGCGGAAGCATCTTCAGTTGAGAAATCAAACTCATCTTCCCGCTTCAGCCCGCCATAATGGACCGGTAGTTCCTCTGCAGCTATATACCTGTAATGAATAATCATAAGTTTTAGTTCAATACTTTCTAATAGGCCAATCAACAATTAGTGCTGTATGAAGCTAAGGATGTTACTTGAGCAAGATTTCTGTGACCCTGGACGGGCGTGCGAAGACAACTTTGCTGTTGGTTCTTGGAGTTAAGAAAGGCAATAGGACAGCGCTAGTAGCACTTAAGGCATAGTACCAGAATGGAACATTGATGAAGATCTACACCAAAATGTAAAATGTTCCATTACTTGCATTGCAAGGCATGATATAAAGAAAATTGTATGGATGAAAATTTGAAGGCTCATGAAAAGAAGGATCTTACATTTCTTGCAACAAATTCAGGATAGTTGTCCTGAAGTATCCCGACAACCTGCTTTGTAGCATGTCGAAGCTCTTTCTTAGAAGGACCAGGCATGTCCTTAAGATCATTGACTAGGAGGATTGAGGACACTCCACCAGGCTTAAAGTCGAGCTTCTGAATTGCTTTCTCCATCAGTTGAACCCTCCGCCTTATAAACATATCGCGATTCTTTTCAGTCCCTAGTATTTTGTCATACACCCCTTCATCCCCAAGCAGCTTAAAATTACTATAACAAACCGGATGTCCTTCACGACCCACACCATTCATACACCCTATGGAACCAAGATCGTCACCAAATTCTTCATCCAAGATCGAATCCACCTTGTTGTCCTTCCTCCATTGGAGCGTATTCCTCAACATCTCGAAAGCATCATAGACATCGAACTCCCTAGCCCTTAAGAACTTCAATAGTATCACATCAGTGCCACTATCTCCTTTACTAGGCAATAAGGGTACCCCCCAAATTGTGATATCCTTATCGATAACGTCAAGCTTTCTATCCTGATCAATAGCCTCATTGTTGTTCTCTTTCAGGCCTTCTTCTGCCTTTTCCGCATTTTCCTCGTCTTCTTGCTTGGAAGGTTTATCGCCGTATTGTTTCTCTTCTTTTACTACTAACTTTTCTTCTATCTCCTTAGAGCCTTCCTTCTCCTTCACAGTTTTTTCCACGACTATTTCATCTCCTTTCCCCTCATTTATTTTCTTCGTCTCTCCACCTTCCTTCTTCGATATCTTTCCCTTTTCTTCAATTTCTTCTACTTTCGTCAAACTATCCTTCTCTTTCTCAGCTTCTTTCATAGCATTTTCCTCTCCTTTCCCCTCATTGATTTTCTCCTCCTCCCCACCTGCCTTCTCACATATCTTTCCCTTTTCTTCAACCTCTTCTACTTTCTCGGAACTTTCTTTCTCTTTCTCAGCTTCCTTCACAGGCTCACTCTCTATTACTTTCTCTTTCTCTCCACATTCCTTCTCCAATACCTTTTCCTTCTCATGCTCCACCATTTTCTTCTTATTTCCCTCAAACAACTTGTTCTCAAGTATTGCGTTTTCGAGCTTGGATCTCAGCTCCATCAAAGCCCTTTTCTCTTGCTCTTTTAAGTCCCAGAATGATGAGCTTTTCTCAACTTTTTCAACCTGATCATTGTTCTTCTCTTCCAATACCACATCCTCAATTTCTCCTTCATTAGCCTTCTCCTCCACCACAATCTCCCTCGTTTCACCTTCACTCGCCTTCTTCTCCTCCACCACCTCCTTTTCAATTACACCCTCATCCTTTTTAGATTCACCAGCCTCACCTACATTTTCACATCCTCCTGGGGATTTTCTAGCTTTTTTTCTATCGCCATTGTTGAACTTTTCTCATCTCCCTTTTCAACTGCATTGTTCTTCTTCTGTATTTCATCCTCATTCTTCTTCTTCTTCTCCTCGGCCACCGCCTTCTTAGTGACATCCTCATTCTTTTTAGATTCACCACTTTCCCCAACATTTTTCAAATCCTTTGCTTCATTACCCTTCTCTTGGATATCCTTGGATAACTCTTTTTCTTGTTCTTCAGAATGAGTGACTTTATTATCCTTTCCAGGCTCTTCAATCTTCTCTCCCGTTGCCATGATTGAACTTTACCAGATAGAACTTAGTGTTTTACTTTGAAATTTTTTAAACTAAAATAAAATATAAAGGACAATTAATGTATTGACGTGAGAAGATTGAAGATTGAGAGAAGATGAACCAAGGCCTTACAGTCTGACCCTGTTTTTCTCCACTGTTTTCTCCTTTTCTTCTATATTTGGTGTTAAACGAACGGTTCTAAACGAGAGTGTGAGATTTCTTGGATCTAAAGTAATGTTTCTAGATTAACCTTTGACAAACATGCCAAATTATTAAGTGAGAGAGCAATATTCGGTCACTATACCCACCACAAATCTCAGATTCCAAATTTTAAGGTTGAACTGGTATACATGGGGTGGCAATCACGGTTTTGTGTGGTATATGCCATTTCAGATTAGTATAGATTAATAGTCAATATTTTCATATAGATAAAATTAGCAATGGCCAATCTTAACTTGACATATATATCATTAAGAATAGTTGCACCAAATATATTGATGGTCTCTTTAATAGAGATGAGCTTCACCTATGTATGAGAGACTCACTTGTAATAGAGAAGTGATCAGTAATGTGGTTCTAATAGCAACACTAATTAATCATGTTAGCAAAATTAAAAACTAGAATGAATAATGATATTTTCTTCATCTAATATATTTGAGTTCATAAATTTGTCGGCATTTTGGATCATAGGTTCCAATATTGTATGACGTATGTAAAGTGCACCTAAATAACGCTAGCGGGACCATATTTAATTAGACTATGTAATTAACTAAGCAAATGCAATAAAAAAAAACCTAAGCATACTGATGTCGTAATTAAACCCTTTCCCCTTAGGTCAATGTTAATCCTTTTAATTTTCAGTCCTTGAAATTAACAAGATAAACTATAGTCTTTTGTCCTAAGGCTATATATGCACTAGGTAAAAGTTAGGGCATTGCAGCCACCATGTATAGCGGTTTTCACTTACAGTTAAGATAAGCTAAAAACCCTAGACTTTCCCGCGCAGGTTGTTATTTGGTAACCGTTCCAACCCTCAACCTCCACTTTTTTCTCAATACTCTCTCTCTCTCTCTCTCTCTCTCTCTCTCACAAGTAATTAAGGATTAAGTCGGTTTTTATAAGTTGTAGCAGTTAATTAGTGGTAATTCTATCTCAGGTCTTGTTTAGGTCTGCTTCTGTCTACTCTTGTACAACAACCAACATTTTCACCTTACACAGTATCTTCTCAGGTACAATTCTCTCTCTCTCTCTCTCTCTCTCCCTCTCTCTCACTGCTTGCAGTTTTACTCTCTTTTCAAGAATCTAGCTATCTACGAATCGCTATGTATATACTTCCTTTTCGTACTCGCCTTGTACACGTACAGCTTCTGGACGAAATATTAAACATCTTATTATGCATGCATGGTTAAAATCTTAATTACGTATACTTAATTTCTCTATGCTGTGTTCATTTTCTAATTTCTTTTACTTCCTCTCTCTTTTTTTCAGGTTTTAAGCACATATATTTCATGGCCTTGAGTCCATTGCCTCCTCAGGCTTTCGACTCAGAGATGACGATCACTAATTGTTTCCAACAAAACTTGGAAGCAGAGCTCTTAACAGCAGACTTCCTTCAATATTATTATTATTCCGAGTATAATATTAATTCCAACTTTTCCAACAGCTTTGTTGATGAATATCATTCATGGTATGACCCCTACGATCTTCTAAACCTTGAAAATCATGATCATGATACTACTACTGATGATCATCTTCTTCTCCCACATAATAGTTTCTCTCTCACTGCCCCTGATTTCAATCCCTACCCCAACCCGAAACGCCAAAAATGTTTCCAAGATTGCTTCTCACCGGATTTTACTCTTTCTAATGGGTTTGTTCCAAATTTGTGTCCGCTACCCTCGTTGATGCCTGTGCCCAAGTTTTTCCTACTCCACTTCCCAAATTCGATCAACTTCCGGAGGATTTAACTAATAGCGCAGGAGCAAACATTAATCATGGACACGAGAGTATAACTAATGTTGCTAATAAGAAAAAAGTGGGTGAAAAATGTGTGTCAGCTCAGAGTATAGCGGCTAGAGAAAGGAGGAGGAAGATCACAGAGAAGACTCAAGCGCTAGGGAAGCTTGTTCCTGGAGGAAGTAAGATGAACACAGCTGAGATGCTCACTGCTGCTTACAACTATGTCAAGTACTTGCAGGCCCAAGTTGGGATTCTTCAACTCATGGGGTCATTCAAGGTATTTTCCTGAGTTTTTCCTTCTAAATTTTACTTCCACCATCCAAAAGTCTAGTTACTATTATTTCTTTGTTTATTTATATCTGACCGTCACACTCGAAATAATTTCAATTTGAGATATGTACACGTAACATCAAATCCATTTATCCAGCTCTTTTTTTAGCCTTTGTTTTTTCTTTTTATCATTTTATTTCTGTAAATCCGATTATCTTAATGATTATGATGATTAAAATAATGAATAATTATTAACAATTAATCCTGCTTGAATAACCCTTTTTTCCAATCTTGTCTTTGCTTATTTCAGAAGCCTGAATTCGAGTGTAGACGATACTAGATTGCTTAACTTGAAAATAATTTTCACACTCCGTTTTTGTCCTCCACGCCCATGCTCGTTTTTGTTCCTCGATTCAATCTTGTAGCTAAAAACAAGAGGAGTCAAAGTGGTCGAGAGAGCGTGCGGAAATAATTTTCCAACTGCTTAAAAGAAAACTTATAAAACTGTTTATAACATAAGATCTTATGCGTGCAGGAATTGAAAGAAGCTCCTCCCATTGAAGAGCTGCAAGTAGTTGCATCTCCTGTTCTTCAAGAGAAGCTATATTTGGAGAATAACTGCCTGGTCCCAAAGAAGTTTGTGGCGATACTAGCAGAACACTTTGATGCTCAATCAAAGCCTTCACTCTCCAACAATCTCAACCTACTGCTCACATCTACAACTTGACAAGAATTTTATGCATGTAAATATGATGTTTCTCTCTTCGAATCGAGATCGTATTCTAGTTTCTGTTCGGTGTTCGTATGTATCTTTTCATCTCTTGAAAATATATATCCAGCAGCCATTTTCTGTAATGGCGTCGGAAACGGAAAAAAAAATTGCCGAAAATCATCTTCAACAAGGAAATGAAGAGTGAAAAGTTCAAGAAATATGGAAACAAAACTTATTTACTTTATCAAGCCAGGAAGAGTACATGGTTTTCGACTTGAAATATTTACCACAAAGGATTATTTCTGCTGCTTTGATTCATGTGTCACATAAGATTCTCATCAGTGTTCAAACAAAGGAGGGGACTAAAGGTTGAGATTTTAACAAGAAAAACACAGGTTGCAATTCGATAGCATGACTTATACCGGATGTCTTAATTGAGATGCAACCTCTTTCGTTGTAATCTGAGTATTGGGGGCAAACCCCAGGCTGTTCATGGTTCCAACTAGCGTCCGGCAATACCGCTCCATTACGCACTTTCTGTAGAACTGTCGACGGGTGTGTCGGACTGCGCTCCCCATTCAGTCCACGATCCATCATAGACTGGTACATCAGGCTTACCAAGTCGATGAAGGCCCTGAAAGAGCACATGAATACGAGAAGTAGGAATAAATGCGGCATGGTTCCTTGCTAAAATATTTATTAAAAGAACGTAACTGGAAAAATAAAACCATTGTTTACGTTCATGATCAACTAAAAAGGTCGTACCCAGTGCACAAGGCTCCCGTTTTACGCAGGGTCTGGGAGAGGTGAATGTCGGCTAGCCTTACCCCCATTTATGGAGAGGCTGCTCCCAAGTCTTGAACCCGAGACCTACCGCTCATGGGCGAAGGCACTTGCCATCGCACCAAGTGCGACCTCTACGTTCATGATCAACTATTGAAAAAAAAAAAAAAATCATCTCTGCAGCTCTAATACTTCCAAGAAATTTAGTGGGTGCTGGGTATGCAGAGAGAGAGAGAGAGAGAGAGAGAGAGATTACCAATGCAAGAATGCAAGCTGTCACACCAGTACCACATGAAGTAACGACAGGGCTTTCCAAGGAGATACCTGCAGCATGAGGTTAGGGTCATTAATTAATAATAACAGACAGATACCTTGTGACCAATTAAAATATTTGTCTGCGGTTGAGTTTTTATGTTTAAAAAAGGAGACAACGCTTGGAAACTGTAGAGCAGCTAAGGGTACATACAAAAGTATTCAAGATCTAAGACTACAGCAAAAAAGTAATAATAAAACAAAGAAGTTATTACCTTCTTCATCAAATCGGGCTTTCAGCTTATCTGCTGGTAAGAGTGTCGCTGAAGAATCCAACAACTGCAAGGAAAGAACCCATTTGTTACTCAACAGCTTATGCAGCATACCGTTTTTTACACACCCAACTAGACTTTGTTGCAGTTTCAAAAGGAATAAGAGGTAACACAAGAATTTGATATTTTTACCTGTGGAAAAGGAATGCACTTGCTTCCAGGCACATGACCACTTCTTATGCCTTTTCGAGGCTCTAATGCAGTTCCATCGAACCTGCAACACCAAATTTCCGTCAAATCCAAGATTGTTAATGCAAGAACAATAATCAGAAAATAGGCCTTCAAAGATCATGTAATCTAATTTTTTTTTTTTTTTAAAACACATCACAAATAGGAAAAGAACTCTAATAAAATGTCTCCATATAATCTGCATAAGTTCCTTTGTGTGAGGCAGAGAAAATTTTGAGTGCTCAACATACTGTTATATTATCTCAATCAAGATTATTATTTCACAATGCATGAATGAACACGTTCCAGCTGATGATTTACACAATTACCGGGAAAATAAAACAGACCAAGAATTACTCAAGCTTCATATTAGTTGATTTAGCATAAAGAATACCTGGCCTTTGATCGGGCATCTATATGTTGGTGACTTCCTTCCTCAACATTTTTTCTAACCTGAAAAATACAGTTGGAAGTATAAAATGAGAGTATATAAAAAAAAAAAAAAAAAGGTAAACCCATACTTGCCACAAATTTCAGGGCTGAATTCAAGATATGCACCTTTACTAGTCAATTAAGATAGAGAAACCAAACCTGATCAAGAGTCCAGACAAGATGTGGCTGAAACTTAGTCTCAAATGTGGTGGGCCCAACCTGCAGAACAAAAATTCTTCCCCAAAACCATCACAAGCAGCCTTGAAAACTATCACATGTTATCATAAAAACTTAGGAAAAGCGTCACGTCAGACAAGGTCAATTTAGTCGACATGCGACCTTCAAGGACTGACCGAACCCTACACCCTCCTTTTCCCAAAGAATGGAAAACTAAAGTTCTTAACTCTAGGATAACATTCAACAGCTCAACCCCCCATCAAACTTCCAAATTTCTTTACTTATGTCCCTAGAGGAGAGAATTGCAATTTTCTAGATCTCAAGAAAATCTACAATGTACAAGGTATAGAGAAAGTAGACTGCAAACAGACACTACAAGAATTGAGGAAGTGAAAAAAAAAGAGAGAACCTATGATTTAAGACATTTATCCTGGCTTAAGCGTCCACAATAAAACTATGAAAAACATAAATAAAAAGAACAACATCTAGATTTCACAAAACATACTGTAATAACCATAACCATATGCTAATGGCTTTTGGAGTCAGAGAATTCCAAAATCCCGGTCAGCGTTAAAACATAACTGTTTTCAGAGACAAGTATATAATGAACTTACTGCTTGTCCCTTGTATATTTTCTCTATTGCCTCACTGGCAGCACTAGCTTTCAAAATTGCATCACCAGAGGCACTAGATTCAACATCAAATCCAGATGCACGCCACCTTGGCAGGCCTCCATCTAAAACCCAAACTCTGTCATGGCCAAATACTCGGAACATCCTTTCATTTTTATAAGGAAATGAAACATTAGATTGTAACACAATGAAAAAGCGTAAAACACAATTTTTTTTTATCACATTTCAGATGAGTTAAAACTTTAAATCTTCCGAATCAGTCCCATAACTTACCACCACACACGAGCTGCACTAAAGATCCCTTTTCCATCATACACAACAAGATCATCTTTGTTCTCAATGCCAAGAGCAGAAACAGCAGCAGCAAAGGCTTCCTCTGATGGTAACATATGCGGTAACTGTTACAAGTCATAATTCTAGTCTTCAATAAGAGAGAACAGGAAAGAGCAAGATAGTTAGAAAAGTGGTGTGTATGCCTGGCCATCATGGCCCACACACTCATAAGAACAACATCAAGAACTATTCATCAGAATTTGTTGACATGAAGAATCATTCATCATATTTTTTTTTTGGTCAACAGTCATTCATCAGATTAATATTAACAGCTTAATCATATAATCTGAATTCTTCTCCAAAATGGCTAATAAGAATGTATTTCTAAGTTAATTCAAACTAGTGGAATGAAATAAATCGCTAAGAATATAGTTGGCACGTTAAGAAAATAGACTCAGGCGTTTTGTGGCCATACTAGTTTCATCCTTATTTCCCTAATGTGAAAAAAGGGCCAGAATGAAGCTCAAGAAGCAAAGAAAATAAGGCTGCTGATTTCAACATCCAACACTAGCATTCATTGCTAGTGATGCTAGTGCGATCTGATATCATATTTTGACAAGAAACATAGAATAGAAAACATCTTACTTTAGTATTGCGATCTGATATTCCATCCACGTCAAAGAAAAGTGCACCAGGAATGTGAGCAACCTGTCATGACGAAGAGGTTTAATTGACCAAAATGAGCCGTAGTGGAAAATGAAGCAATACGAAATAACATGAAGATCTTAGAACAAGATTGGAATTGAATCCATTGATACAGATATTATTAAGAATTATCACATGACAGCATCAGTCCAGAAAGCTTGGTGAGCACCTGATACTCTTGAATTGGATTCCTTTGCTCATCAGGCATATACCAAGATGCATCTAGCACCTGAAGTAGATAACTAAAAATAGTTTACCAACATGCATAGGGAAAAAGGAAGCATATAGGAAAGCAGAACAGAAGTGCCATCTCCAATTAGAAAATCATGATGATGACAACATACATTATGAACCAATTGAAAAAAATTACATATAATCAAGCATTCGTTAGTAATATCTTCAACTTATTCCAGACTTACACTCCAGTGGAAGAAAGGGAAGGATGAATAAATAGTTCAGTATAAACAAGCCAAAACACGGTACCTTCAGATCAGGCTCTTTGAGGTTAGCATGGAGCCAATCAACAGAAACAACAGGCTCTTTTGTCGACACAGATTGTGTTGAAAAATCAGCTCTTGCGCCAGCTACTGATGAAGCCATAACACGAGGAACCCAGGCAGATGTTCTATATCTTCTATAGGTAGGGTCAGCTTGAAAGTGTTCTGTTCCCTTCTGCATTGACAGAAAAATAATTATATTAAATCTTGACATAAGAAAAAATATTAGATTTAGTAAACTGCTCAAACTGAAAAGCGTATTTCAAATTAATAAACAAACGTAATGATTAAGTTAACTACTTCCCAAATCAAATCAAAATGGAATCACAGAGAAGACGAACAATTGTGGATGATTCAGACAAGGCCTCTTAAAATAAAACATGAGTTTTTAGGTAAAGAGGATTGTGCAATAATCTTTGCACACTATGAAGAATACATGTTTCTCAACGATTCCACAGTAATCACTCAATCCAGAAAAACATCTTTAAAGGAAGCTCTTCCGCCTAAGAAACTACAGGATTTTCAATGGTTTGATCGAATTTGTTATGTAAATTAGACAGAGTAATCTACATCAATCGATATCCAAGTAGTGTATATAATATTTAATTAAACACACAGCCAATAAATCACTTCGAGAACTACAATACCGAACACTTTATATCATAACGACAATCAAAGGGGGAATCTAGAAAACATACAAGCAGACTCCAACAAATTCCCTTCTTTCCAGTTCATGGCTACCGGAGTCAAACGGAGCTGCTAGG